TGATAAGTCGCAGTTCCGGTCAGTGGCCACAGGGGGCGTCATCTACCACAGAGTGACTCCTGCAGGGAACATGTTACAACACGTGCAGGTTTGACCCCTGGTGAAAACTAGAGAGTAGCAGGGGACTTTTATATTGATAAAAGTAGAGACACAAATAGGTTGATAAACTTAAACCAGAAAGAAGGAAATGATGCAGCCAGGATGTTGAGGTGGAGGACCCATGGGTGTAGTATGAGACAATGGGCCCCTGGGCACAGATATGCAAAGGGCCCCACCACCTCTACTACACAGGACACAGACTTTGTGGTGGTTTTGCATCTCTTTGTGTTTCTCTGTCTCTCTGTGCTTATTCTGTCTCTATGTGAGGTACTCTGGGTTTTTTGTTGTTTTGTGTCTTTTTGTAGTAGTTTGGGTTTCCCTGTGGTCACTTTGTGTCGCTTTGTAGTCATTTTGTGTCTCTTTGTGGTTGTTTTGTGTCTTTTTTGGTTGTTTTGTGTCTTTTTATAGTAGTTCGGGTTTCCCTGAGGTAATTTTGTGTCTTTTTTTAGGTCATTTTGTGTCTCTTTGAAGTACTTTGGTTTCTTTTTTCGTTGGTTCTGTGTCGCTTTGTAGACATTTTGTGTTTCCTTGTAGTTGTTTTGTGTCTTTTTGTAGTAAATTGGGTCTCCTTCAGGTATTTGTGTATCTCTTTGTGGTTATTTTGTGTCTCTTTGTGTCACCCTGTGGTTGTTTTGTGTCTTTTTGTAGTAGTTCGGGTTTCCCTGTGGTCACTTTATGTCTCTCTGTGGTCTTTTAGTGTCTCTTTGAAGTACTTTGGTTTCTTTTCTTGGTGTCTTTCTGTAGTAGTTTGGGTTTCCCAGAGGTAATTCTGTGTATTTTTTGGTCATTTTGTGGCTCTTTTTTGGTTGGTTTTTTTTGGAGCTTCATGGTCATTTTGTGGTCTTGCTATGGTATTTTTGTGTCTCTGAGGTACTTTGGTTTCTTTTTTTGGTTGTTTTGTGTCTTTTTGTAGTAGTTTGGGTCTCATTGAGGTAATATTGTGTTTTTTTTTGTGTGTGTGTTGGCGGCTCTAACATTTTGGGCCCCTGGGCCTCTGCCTGGTAAGACAGTAATCCATCTATGCAGGCCAGCATTGTTTTTTTTACTTCCTTATATTACCCTATTGCTATCTGTGTAGATTTCGAGGGGATGCAGGGGACACAGCCCTCGTAGACATTTAGAATATCTGCATTCTCATTCATGCAGAATCTATAGCTTACCTCATTTTTTTCCTTACGGCAATTTAAAAAATTTTTTAGATCCTATCTCACTCCCATCTGTTCTTGTTTCAACTGATAGATTTGCTTGAATTTTAACTGTTTTAAGTATTCTCAAGGGTTTTTTTTTAAGTTTTTTTTTATCTTTTTTTCCCCTTTATCCCCATTTTTCACACATTTCTTGATTGTGTCCTGAATGCTTATGATCTTTTGTTCAGTATTAGTATTAAAGCTGAATAAATATAACTGACATAAACAAATTGCCAGCTGAACTGATTCATTGCAAACCTCTATTAGATAGAATATGAGCATGTCTCACTCATCATCCCGTTTTTACGCTACTTCAATTCTGTGCTCACTTCCATCTCGTGTATGTATCCTGTATCAGTAGCTCAGGTGCCAAACAAAATCTGAGGGGTCTTGAGATGATTAAAGAGGCAGGTTTATCAAAATGAGACGTCTTTAAAGATGTACATATATATTTTATTTTAAAAACAAACATCCACCGGCGACAGATCAGAGACAGAGTGCAACTGATTCATAGCTGAAATACTGTGGAATTACATGAAAAATCCTGTTTGATCATTTGCATGATGAACGTTTCAGACAAATACAAAGTCAAATACTGACTTTTGTCATAATACATACATCTTGACACTCTCCTCACATGTGGTGCAACATCAGAGGAAACATGTCAATAAAAAGAAGGTTTGACGCAACACACAGAAAATTAATTTTTACTTAACTTTAAAGTACTAATATAAAATAGTTTGTCTCCATTGTACAAACTCCTGTTTAATAAAAACACAGAAATATTAAAAATGTTTGTTACATCAATAAAGAAAGGCACTGACTATATTGCACCCTTTAGGAGTAAACAAAATGCACTGCAGTAGAATTATACTGTGATAAAAAGATCACAATTAGTGATCTACCTCAAAAAGCTTGGGACACAATCGTTCCTTTACAAACGCTGTTAAATAATTTGCTAACAGTAATCAAGTCGTCCACATCCACACACATGAGAACTTCTAGAGAATTAATTTAAAGGGATAGTGCACCCAAACATGAAAATTCAGCCATTATCTACTCACCCATATGCCGAGGGAGGCTCAGGTGAAGTTTTAGAGTCCTCACATCACTTATGAAGATCCAAGGGGAGAGTGGGTAGCAACACAACCACCTAATGTAGGCTGACGGCGCCCCAGATTAAAACGTCCAAGAACACATAATTGAAACCACAAAATATCTCCATACTGCTCGTCCGTAGTGATCCAAGTGTCCTGAAGCCCCGACATAAAAAGTTGTTTGGAAAAACGTCATTTGAACTCTGTTTTTAGTCTCACTGTAGCCTGTAGCTCTGACTGCTTCTCTGTGGACCGCGTTCACGTGTGCGCTTGCGCGAGACCGTGAGACATGGGCACCGCCTTCATGTGTGTTCACGTGCTTTCGCACAGAGAGGCAGTTAGAGCAGTATGGAGATATTTTGTGGTTTCAATTATGTGTTTTTTTTTGGGTGAGTAGATAATGGCTGAATTTCCTTTTTTGGGTGCACTATCCTTTTAAACCTAGGGTAAATGTATTACTATTATTTTACTTTACCGACCACCTGAGGCTGGTGTCGCGTGCACATTGAATTCATGACAAATAAAAGAAAGTCATTTTACAGCTGCTAGTAATGGAGACAGAAAATGAATACACACAGGGAAAGCACCTGCGATTAAAGCCGACCTCGTCATGTGATAATGCCCGGTCATGGAATGAAACAGTTGTGCTGTATTTTAAACAGTCAATAAAATTCAGTAAATAGCAAAGCTGTGCTTTTGATTGTATATTCATGTCATAAATATAGACTGCACATGTCAATGAGATGGTAACCTGTGTGAGAAATAAAGAAAATAATCATAATAATCGTCTGTGTATAGTCATCAATATGACCCGTGATCACTATAAGCAGTTTCAGCTGTTCTGAAATCTCATCATGTGCTGAGGATCATCCCAAAATGATAAGTTCACTGTTCACAAGTACTGTAGTGACTAGGGCTGAGTATCGCCACTGATTTCCTGAATAGATTCCATTTAGATTCACAAGGTCCCGATTCAATTCGATTCTATTTGATATCGATTCGATTGGGGATATTTCAGTTACAATACCAATTTTTGCTAGTATGTGAAAGAGATTCTCAGAGAACTAATAGTGCGAAATGTACAAGGAATTATTGTTAAAAAAGAATAAATTCAGAACAGAATTAAAAGTGAATATTTTAAAACTAAATGTTTCTAGAGCAACAACAGCAATATTAAAACAGCAAAGTCACAATATAAACTTAATGTCTCACTGGAAACAGAATAAAAATGTCAATAAAATAAATCATATTCCTGACATCACAATACTGAGTGAAGTTTAGGAAGAATAAAGAACACAGACATCAGTCAGTATCAGTCCTGCTGTCCTCTCTGCTGCTGAGGAGACTCACTACCTGCAGGTCACATGACCACAGGTCACATGACCACTGGTAAGTTTTAAGATACAAGACAAACTGAGCTAAACCCTGAGACATAAAAATTTGTTGTTGTTTCAGCTTGTTAGTAACAATTTGCTATTAGCTGTAAAGTGTCTGTGCTTGTTTATTACATAATATCAGTGGCGGTAGACGAGAGACTGCAGACAGAGCAGACTGAGATATCACTTCATGTTTTCTTCATGTTTACATGTTGCTGATCAGCTGTATTGTCCTGTCCTCAGCTCAAGTTAACTTCACTTTTCTGTCTCCACCCCAACATCTCTACTCAGTATTTGTGTGTGCGAAAGGGGCCGTACACATGCTGCGTTTTTTGAGCCCTCAAATTCACTGTTTTCAATATAGACGCCGTTGCACCATGCACGCGTTCCTGACCGCCCATTTTTCAGGGTGTGACGGCTGCGCCCTGAGATAAACTGAGAGTTTAACTTGAGGAACGCAGCAGCATGCACCATGTCATGTGACAACAAATCACAGCCGGCAGATATCTTTCACTTCACCCCTAAATATCAGCCTGTGATAAATATGAAGTTGATCATGTTAGTGCAGGGCCACCCAGAGCTTTACATCTGTCCCATAGACAACAGGCCTACACACTTATAAACAGCTCCTGGAAGAAAGATCAGCTCTGCACTCAGGATTTCAGGTGAACAGAATATGATTCGGTGCTTAAGGTTGCTTAGCAACCTCAGACGCAACCTGCCCTCACGCTCGTGAAAGCTTGCATAAAAAAAAAAGGCACAAAAGTAGTCCCAAGAATCCGACCTCACGTTTCCCAGGCGTTAAAGCACTTAGAAGTGGCGCAGCAGGACCGACGCACACACAGCAGGCTGCTGCAGCATGATAATAAATGACACAGTTACAGTTACAGATAAAGGAGCTGGTAACTTCAGAGCTTCTCAAGACTTTGAAAGTTAATAATTAAGCGCCGCGGCTCGTTTACTAATGGCGAGATTAACGTGGTTAAAGCTTCACACATCTGTGGGGAAACATATATATTAAAAGATCAATCTGGGATTTTATGAATCGATATAGTGTCATTCAAATGACGATCGATTTGGATTGGATGAATCGATTATTTTAACCCAGCCCTGGTAGTGACACTCACTTTAATCAAACTACAGTATTTTTTAAAAGTTCAGTAACCTGAGTGCTCTGCTCATTCAGCATTACTCTCCTGTAACACTGGATCAAAATCAGAACAACAGATATTGTCCTATTATTATTATTCCAGTGACAATTTGCATCCATGAAAAACCTGGCGGCTACATTACCCACAATGCAACTCGGCCACTAACAGCTCTGTCACTGCAGGTATCCTTACCGCAAAAAGACCTCAAGTAATACTGGATCATTTCTGTCTGACTTAATTCCAGTTAAAGTACCTTTACCTCTTATTATTATTCTGAAATACTGTGACTGCAGCAGAGGCATCAGTCAGAAAGACATATACCACAGGGCTCATTACATCATCATTTCTTAACCTATCCCAAAAAGTTACTGAGTTTGAAAACGGAACACCGTTTACCCGTCATCAGTTATTACTGATGTTGAACACACTTTTAAATTCTCAATCAAATAACTCCTTCAGTCCGTTGCCCTTGGCAAGGAATTCAGCGTTGTCCTGCAAAAGAACACAACAGTCCATGTCACTAAAACACATACTTAAAACATGTACTTAACTGTTGATGAAAACCTCCTTTTTTTAAAGGAATAGTTCGGACCTTTTGAAGTGAGATTGTGTGAGGTTCTCTCTTGTTACTTACTCGGTTGTACGTGGCACAGTTGGTGAAAATGAGCTGGACGTCGGACACAAACTCTCCAACCGTCTGGTAGAGTTGCTCCTGGAGTTTGTCTGCAACTTTACCGAGCCACATGGGAGTCTTGATCACAGTGGAGTAATCTTGCAACTGTGGGTGCCGAGCAGAAATGAATGAAATACTCAACACTCTGCAACAACTTTGCGTGTTTACAAGAGCTTCAGACCATCATAAGCACCTGAGGACAGCGTCATTCCTCTTTATCTGTATTATTTCCCACAAATATGAAGACAGTAAACAGGTGCATGAGAGGAGCAAGACAGAGACTCACGTAGAGGCATGGGTTGGTGGCAAATATTTGTTCCCCATCAGCACTGCACAGATACAGGAGGAGATACTGGCAATGCTGTTGATATAAGAGAAGAGGAGGTGAGAGGCGGCGGTGTGTCAGAGAGGCAGGCGTTACGATGTGAGGGCACAGAGTCAGACGGCGTGCTCACCAGCATGCGTTGGGATATCTGGCGAGACACGACTTCTTCCTTCTTCTGCTGATCTGGGTAAAGCCACGACTGAGAGGTTCTGAATACACAGAATGTGCACATCCATGGTCTGTCGTCCCTGCTCACACACACACAAACAAAATATATTAATACATACATATAAAACATCTGAGAAGTAACCATCCTGAACAGAATATAGATATATAGATGCTTTTAATTTGTGTTTCATTTTAACCACGTTAATCCCACTGACACAGGACGGGTGGAACATGTTACAAAGGTAGAGATTTATTGACTCAGTTTGTATAACATGTCATTTGATGAGCTAGTAAATTTAAAGTCTGCTGAAATAGGCATCTCCCTGACTCCACTGATGCTACTTTGGTCGTTACATTCACTTTGCACATAAGGTGGAGAGCAATGACCATACATCATAAATGAAAACAATGTAATAGGCACACTCTTAGTGATAAATACAAAACAAAAGTAAAAAATAAATAAATAAATAATTAATAATAATAATAAAAAACACAAATGAACACAATGAAAACACACACACACAGGGTTTACCTAATTGGTTATAAAATTGTAAGATATGCATAAATCAATTGTTTCAGTCAGTTTTTTATTACATAATTTTAAGTTTGATATTGTTTTATGATATATATAAATCTGAATTCTTAAAAGGACAGAAGAATTCGCTTTTACGTCTTGAACCTCCCGTCTCCAACAGGCTTGAGACGTGCACCGTTGAGGACTTGGCTCAGATTCCAGGGTTACTAGCCCCTTTTAGATAGGAATTGACCTATGGCAAAGTCCCGCCCTCAAACGCAATGAGCCAATCACAGTGCGTATAGCCATTCCCATACACTCGGACATTCTCTACCTGGACGTCCATTGAAATGCATTACAGAAAGTCAGTTTTGTTCGGTTTTATGAGCTTTTTCTGAGATTTGAAGTTTAAAAATGGTCAAACAGTGTGCATGGGGTACATGCAACTCTGACACAAGGTATCCTGAGAGGCTGGGCGACCAGGTGTATTTTTTACACTTTAAACCACATCTCAACCGAGAAAAGTGTCTCCTTTGGATAAAGCTGTGTGGTAACGTTAGACCACAACATCAACTCAACGTGAATAAGATTAACAATGATGTCTACATCTGTTCTAAGGTAAGTCAACATTGTGTTTGAGGCAACATATTGTCACTTTGCTGGAAAGAAATATAAAGTTATCTTTAACATCTCTAGTTAACGTTAGCTAAAGTTAGCCTAACGTTAGCTCCTAGCTGCGTTGTTCATCATGTCACCTTGTTTGCTGGGAGTTCATTAGCCTATTTTGTTCTAGTTTTGTACTTTGGTGATCGTACATCATTGTTAGCTGTTGTCCAAAGGGCTCTAGTTAAGCTAACGTTAACTTCTGGAGCTTAGCTTCATTAACTTATCTGTAATGGCAGAGATAACAAAGGTTGGCAAACGTTATGCTGAATGATTCAGTGTAAATACTGTAGCACCAAACTAACAGAGAGACACTCTTGGTAAAGATGGTAAAAAGGCCGTTATCCTTTTCTCATATTCTGAGCCAAAAACCTTAACTTCAGTGGCACTTTAACTTGTTGTCTTTGATGGTAAGCTTTTCATCGACCTTCTCAACAATAAAATGATGAATATATCCCTCCAATGCGTAGTTTAGGCCATTTTGGTTACTTTTCACTAGCTATGTTTCCATCCAAAAGTGATTTGAATCATTGGGAAATGTGCATTAAAAGAAATACGAATCCTGTGTGTTTCCATTAAATGTACAGACTTTGGTGAAAACTACGAACTCGAGCGAGTTTTCCATAGAACCGGAAACAAAACAAATCTCGCATTCTTCTTCTTCTACGTTTCCTGGCGGTTGGCAACCAGCTTGTAAATGCATTACCACCTTCCCGACCCAGAGTGTGGATATCACCATGGAGAGAGGTGCACTACGTCAGACTTAATTCGAACATAACTGTTTCCATCTCGTTTTGCGAATCAACATTTTTTTTTAATCAACCAAAACCCGGCTATAGCGAGCGTATTTTAGTTTGTGCGAATCAGGGGATTTTGGCGTTTCCATCATAATTTTCCGATGTGATACTTCTAGATGCGCATCTAAACAGGCTGATGGAAACATGGGTAATGACATCTGATCGTTATGTCCCCAAAAATCATCAATTGACTCCTGTGAAATGCCATGTATTGTGACACCTGCCATAGCGCCCGTCACTGAATGTTAATTGTTTGTCCGAGTGAGTGGAGGGGGGCGTGGCTTAGCCATAGGTCATTGTGCAAATTTGCAGGAAAGCCCAATCAGTCTTTTTTCAGCATTGGCAGTATAAAAGCAAAATCACTTCACCGTCCCCGTCATCTGCCCGTTAATGGCCTCTTCGTTTGTGAGGGCAAGGAGGGCTCGCAATTCCTTGTCTCCTCAGTTGCTCATCTTTACAGTGTCTGTCAGGTTTGTGTTTCCCTCTTGTTACTAGCTGCTCGCTAATTCCTGCTATCAGCTGTTTCCTGTTTATCCACCGCCAGTGGCTCACACGTGCGGCGTGATCAACAGCTCCTCCCATAAGTCATCAACAGCTCCTCCCATGGCGGAAGGCCGTCTCTGTCTGTTTAAACTAAAAAGGTTCCACCAATATGTCTACCCTACGAAGCGGAAAATTGGGCGGCTCGGATCAACTCGCCAATCCGGCTCAGGCTTGCAGCTTGCCGGCCAAACGGCCCCACATTTGCGGAAAATCTGGCAGTGTAAAAGGGGCTACTGTCTTATCCTGAAGCCCCCTGAGGAATCTGATCCCGTTTGGTTCGGTGGTGGGAACCTCTAGCAACCACATGCCTTTGCTGACATCGACCCCAGCGGGATTCTTAAAAGGATATGAGGGCAATTTTACAAAAAAGTATTTTGTTTTATGATGACAAAAATTAGCCAAGATAATGAGCAAATTAATTATATATTGTTTATTTTTTGGGGGAAAAAACATTTTAAAAAAAAAAAAAAATTATTAAGAGAGCAGGTTCTTTGAGTGAAATGTTCCTGTCGAAATGTCCAACAGTAAATCAGTGTACATATTGAGAGAGTAAGTGTTATAATGTTTCTACCATATTGTTACAGAAGGTGCATTTGTCAGTTATATCAGGGATGTATTTATAAATAACAGAATTCTCTGGATAATATCTATCTATAACACAAAAAAGCAGCTCTTTGGTTTTGTTGGGCAGGAAGGAAGAGTGAATACAGGACTACATGTCTCACCATCAAGAGTCTGAACTGTCCAATTATATTTAGCAGTACTGTTCTTGGAATAAGTGAATGTCTGATTAATATGATGCCAGTTAGCAGTGCATTTACTACAGTGTTACTCACGTTGGGAGACAGGAATACTGTCTTTGAAATCACTACGTGAATACAAAAGTTGTCAAATAGTTGCGTCACAAGCACAATGTTGCTGTTAAACCAATGTTCAAAGAAAATGGACTCATTTCTATACGTATATTGGCTCTGCTCCATAAACACATTTGTGAGGAGAATACTTCTGCTTATAAAGAAGAGACCAACATAGAGGAGTTTGCTTATGAAAGTTGGAGAGTTTAATAGGAAGTTTCCCAACAGCATAGGAGTATATCCACTGCAGCTACTGCTACCTGCATTTTTAATGAGAAAAACATTAATTATTAAGATGGAATAAATCAGAGCTTGAACATGGATTAAGTGATTTTTGCCCGTTTGGGGGCAGCGATACAAGCTGGAAGCACAATATTTACATATCACCTTATCACAATGATATAGCTACAGTGTTTACCTGAGGATTTTTGGTCCAGCAGCAGTGACCTTGACCTCTGACCAACAAATTCTAATCAGCCATTCCTTGAGTTTAAGGCGGAATCTATACTTCTGCGTTGAACCAACGGCGTACCTTAAGCCATAGCCTGACACGCACCTCCCCAGAAATGTAGCGACGCAGACCTCCTGTCTATTTCTGTAAGCTGACACCATTTCCCTCAGTGGAAACAAATATTTTATTTACTTTAATTTCACAGATAACATTTTAAGTCTGTTAAGAGGAAATCTCCGCTCGTCGCTAGGCTAATTTATACAATGTAAAACGCCGTAGGCTTGTGCAAGTAACATTAGCATGTTGTATTTGTTTGGAAAACGTGTTTAGTATAAGACAGTTGTTTTGTCAGTGAACCTTGTGAGTTGTAATGGAGCCAAATTATGTGCCGTTACCTTTGTTAAATGTTGCTGTTGTCTCTGGTTTTATATGAGTAGAGAGAAGTCTGCTAGCCACTAGGCTAATTTATACAATGTAAAATGCCATAGGCTTGTGCTAATAACGTTAGCATGTTGTATTTGTGGGGAAAATGTGTCCAGATAAAGACAAGTGTTTGTCTGTGAATGCTGCCAGTT